ATATATATTCAGGGAAAATTATTTTTCGATCCTTACTCATTCACCCATTTGTACGTAGTTTAAAAATTATAAAAATTCTTTAAGTCTAGTGCGCAATTATTAATTATGAAAGTTAACTAACCCTCGTTGAATATGAAATCAAGCTTTGAAGATCATAATTCACTACATAATTATGGTTTCTGGTAACACTTCTGACTTAAAGTACACCAGCGAGAAAGATTTAATATTTTTAACATTTCATTGGACATTCACAGTACTTACAAACCCAGAAAACAGAACAAGAATCCGATTATGATACCATCCAAGCCTAATATCCTTGATCAACTCATCAATAGGCCACCAATTGAGAATGTCATGGTAAAACGTCTGAAGACCGAAGATATCCTAAAGAAGCATCAGATATTATATCAACAGTAAATTGAAAAGGAAGTCCAGGAAGTAGTCAAAAGTTCAGCAATTGAGTCCAGAGAATATTGAGCACACAGTCACTGAAGATCTTTGGGTTTATACAAAATGTGATAGTTTCAATGGAACAATTCAGGACGCTAACCAGAAATCAAAAGAATCCAATACTTTGGAAGCAGCGAAAATCACTCCAAATGAAGAAGAAAGTGTTGAAGAAATCTTTATCCATTAATCAACAAACCTCTTAAATCCTGATGTAAGAAGGTATGCTGTAATACTTGGAGGTGGACAAAAAGGAGGCTTTGAAAGTGCAGATTACTCGATATTGTAAGCACTCATCAACAAACCTCTTGAATCCTGACTTATTGAGGTATGCCATAATGTTTGAGATTTACAGATTCGACATGAATAGACCAACAAACATCTTGAATCCAAGAATAAAGTTGTAAGCTATAACGTTCGAGGGTGGACGAAAAGAAGACTTTACGGGTGCCGATTTACAGATATGACAAGAATTAATCAACAAAACCTCTTAAATCTTGGGCTATGGGGGTATGTCATGATGTTTGGAATTTAAGAATGAATGAATAAACATCTTGAATCTTGTCTTAAGGAGATATGCTATGATGTTAGAGGGTGCACGAAAGGGAAACTTTGTAGGTTGAGATTTCCAAATTTTGCATGAACTCATCAACAAACCTCTTAAATCCTGGCCAATGGAGGTATGTCGTGATGTTTTGGTTTAACAGAATTGACAATAATAAATCAACAAACATCTTGAATCCTGGCCTAGAGGGGTATGCCTTGATATTAGAGCGTGGGCGAAAAGAAATGTTTGCGAATGCAGATTTCTAGATTTTGCAAGAACTTATCAACAAGCCTCTTGAATCCCGGCCTAAAGGGGTATGTTATAATGTTAGAGGGTGAACGAAAACGAATGTTTGCGGATGCAGATTTCCAGATTTTGCAGGAACTCATCATCAAACATCTTCAATCCTGGGCTATGGAGGTATGTCATGATGTTTGGTATTTACAACTTTGACAAGAATAAATGAACAACCTTCTTGAACCTTGACTTACGTTATGAAGTTAGAAGGTGGATAAAAAGAGGCTTTGAAGATGCAATTTCCAAATCTTGCAAGAATTAGACAACAAACCTCCTGAATCCTGGCCTAAAGGATATAGCATATCCATAAGAATAAAAAAAGACATATTGATCAAAATATTTGTACATAGTGTTACGTTTGTTTAAAAGCACTGCGTCATTGGTTTACTAAGCCTCACTACGATTATGTCTATTCATGCGTTACGGAAACCAAAAGATGAATTAAAAACGTTGCACTTTGGCTTGAGCTGATGCGCCAGGGTTTGGCTGTGTCTTGAAGCGTTTAAATTTTGCCAAAACTCCTTGCGCAATTAATAATGATTAAGTTTTTTGGCTTGTACTGACCCAGGCTCACGATCAGCCTTATTTAGTATCGTGTACGTTAATTTTAGACAGCAAAACGAGACCTAGTTCACTCAACTCTCTGTGCACCTTTATGTCTCGGTTCCTAGTCATAAGCATGTCGTTTGTTACACTATCGTCAGTGTCATACTGTAATTACTGTAATAAGTAACCTCTTACTTTTATTCTCGACGGGATTCGTAAACAAACAAAATCGACATTCTGTTAAAGTCTCTCAGCGATAGGGCTAACGAACTTGGGCGACGATCGACTTTTCAATTAACTTTTCGCGTATACGTTTTAACCACCGAAGGAATTTTTAGAGCGACGCCGCTCGTCGCGACGGCACATATACGAGNCCTAACCTAACCAATTACTCACAGAAATGTCAAATATATAATAACTCGTTGGTAGCAACCATAGAAAAAGTCAGAGTGGGTGTTAGAGACAATAACAAAACAACAAATAATTTTAAATCAGTTAGGATTAAAATCAGCAACTTGTTACCTTAAATGTAATGATAAAAGTGTATTATTGTATTGTATTATACCTACAAAGGATGGATAAGTCCATGAGATTTATTAAAATTATGCAGGCATTAGAATAATTAAAGTACATCCCTGTCTGACAATAATTTATTGTAAGCTGGCTGTTATATGTATTCTATGATGAATGAAGCCATTTTGCTGTAACTCGGAAAGGATAATGTAGCTGTTTGATGACTTTTGATGTGAATTCTTGTATTTTACCTCTTACTTTTATTCTCGACGGGATTCGTAAACAAACAAAATCGACATTCTGTTAAAGTCTCTCAGCGATAGGGCTAACGAACTTGGGCGACGATCGACTTTTCAATTAACTTTTCGCGTGTACGTTTTAACCACCGAAGGAATTTTTAGAGCGACGCCGCTCGTCGCGACGGCACATATACGAGGGTGGATTGATAAGTTTCCGGCCTAACCAAGAGATGACGCCACTAGGCCTACCTTGAGGTGACATTCTATAGTACCATCCTTGGATAGCTTGTAGCTATAGTTTCAGCCCGATCTCCTTGCTAGTGTAGGTTTGACAGCACGCTGAACAAGACGCCTCTGTGGTTTTCGTAAAAATGGAAAAGCAGGAAAATCGT